TTCACAATCTTGATTGGATATTCAGAATCCATGAGGACATGAAGTAGTGAACGTAGTGAATAAAGATCTGCCTCCTTCCGATCCAGATCCAACACTCACAAGGGTGCAAAACGTCAGTTCTTGCTGACCTGATCATCTGACAAACATGCATCATTGATCAGCTGGCTACCTTAAAAGGAGCTTGATGTTCTGCACACATCTACCTACCACCTCTCCGTCCTCCAAATAGAGTCGTTGACCGGAGGAGAGAGAATTGGCTTCAGTCTGGAACAGCTTTAAGAGGGGCAACAAATCTTCATCTGTCAATTGCATCTCTTTGAGCCGCAGAACTTGAAGAGGAAGTCCTTCAGCCAGCAACCTGCCGTGACCACCAGTCACGAGTGAGGGGCCAATGGAACTGGGCCCGTAGGAACAAGTTACGGCATGTACATGCCCCAGCAGCGGCATAAAGGGGGGTATCCGGGAATACTGCAAACGTCGAAGATATGTCCCCTTCGTGCTGGACAAATCGACAGCAACATGAAATACAGTAATATATATATATATATATGGATCTGAGTAAGTTGGTGCACTACTAAATCTATGGGACCTAAAGCTGCCATCCAACAATGCAAGAGTCATGAACATGAATATCAACAAGTCCTCAAAAGGGTCATTGGTCTTCAAGGACCCTCACTGGGCGTTCATCTGTTTTTTATTTTATCTGTCTGAGGATGTGTGAGGATTCCTCATTTGAGACAAACAAAGCTGCTCAAAGCATCCACACGCGACTTCGAACTCTTCCCCACCTGGCCAGAGCTAGAACCAACCCTGCCCCTTTGCCAGCCCTGCTGCTCTTCGACCACTCCGTAAGTCCTGGGTTCTTCGACAAATCCAGTAGACGCAGGGGTGCCGCGCGCCCGCTGCAGGAGAGCTCGGTCCGGCGAAGGAGGAGGTGATGGAGGAGATGAAGATCACTCAGACGGTTTTGGGCTAAAAGCAAAGCCTCAAGCTGAGGTAAGGCATTGCCTGGGCCGGTTTTTTAGGATCGGTGTGTTCAAAATTGCCTTTGGGTCAGCACCAAGGATCTCTTTGAGAAAGCTGAGCTGCTCAGCTATGATCTATTTATGTGACTCTTTGATTTATTAAAAAGATTTGCAATGCAAACATTCCCTTTATCTCTTGTGCTGGTCAAAACCGGAAGAGCTCCAGCCCTAGGACTCATCTGCGTCGGCCGACTCGGCGGCCAATGCGCCGAAAAAAGACACACAAAAACCCTAGAGTCCTAGAGCTCCAGTCGTACCTTCGTTTCGAAGGTGTTTGGGTGGGTGCCAGGAGGGTCCAAGTACCTTCTGAGGAGGTACTTGGAGCCGGGGAAAGCATCTTAGGTGGATCCTTGAAGTTGTTCATTGGGCTTAGTGCTCCACTACCGCTGCCCAGAAACCGGAACCCACCCGGCAGATCTGTCAGCAGCGTGAACCGGAAGCCCTGAACCCTTCGCAAGACGGTGAGACGGGCGAAACTCAAACTACATAGACAAAATGTTTGGGGAACACCAAAGAGAACCCAAAGAGAACCACATAATATACACGAAATGTCGGCAGATCCCTGAACCTGCCCAGTTCATCTGCGAAACAGTGAGGACCCCCCCAACATGGGAAAATCCTCTTTAGTGTTACCACTCAAACCGAAAAATGAACATAACAGCGACTTGAAGCAACGATTTCAAACCTTGAGCCAGCACACACCAAACCTCCCGCGTTCCTTCAAGCATGCCCCATCCTTGGATCTCCTACAATGGAAACAATAACCCGCCAAACATGGATTGCAAAAACCTCCTTATATTCTATGGGGGAGTTGAAATCATATCATCACAACTCCACGTGATCCCTTCATTACCCAATGCCCCTTCCACCAAGTGGCTGGCCACTGCCAAGCACGGCAACAGCAAAGCCAAGCCCCGATCTCCTACACCGCAGCCCGACAGGTTCAGCCACCGCAGTTGTCGCGCGGGCGCGCGCGGCGCGACATCGCGCAGCGTAGCCACCAGCGGCGCCAGAAGGGAGGAGAGCTCCTGGCGACGGACTGGGCAAATGCAACGAGAACACGGTCGAACATGGTGAAGACTGCACATCTATAGATGCAAAAAGGATCAAAAAAAGGGATACAATTTGTATTTGAGTTGTTTCATTGGCCTTTTATGGCTTCAAATCATCGAATGATTCGCAAGGCTTGTCTTCAAGCCACAGTTTCTGTGTGTTCATGTGGTGTGATGAGCGATTTCCTCACAAAAAAAATTCAAGAAGTTTCTTGCGGGCTTATCTTGCTGCAGTCTTTTCACCATCTCTCCTTTCCAAGTGGAAGGCCTGCCAAATCCAGGATCTGAACCTCGTAATGTGCCAGCTCCGCGGGAGCAAATACGTCCCCAGCCAGACAAGTCCTCTATAGGTGCGGTGAAATCCTGCACCACCAGTCAGCCCTAGAAACCCTGGCCATGTGGAACATTAGTCTTCATCAACCGGGGATACTTCTTGGACCTCAGAAAAACCATATGATCCACGCGGATCACGGACCATCCCGGACCCATTAGTGCTTTGCTTCGCCAGGGGTTCACCATGCCGGAAGCCCTGTTGCACCAACCCTCGAATTGACCAACTTCCGGAAAATGATGCGTCGGTGCAACAAATACCACATGTCTATCGTGTGTTTGTTTCGCCAGGGATGCTAAAGCATTGGATGATCAACCACACAACCAACACGGTGACCCCAAATGAACGACCCCCGCTTTAAAAAAGAAAACAACTGTAATACCCATTGCCAAATCACAATGTTATACACTATTCAGGCGAAGTTCTGAGTGCGGTGCTTTTGAGATATTTAAATATATATATATATATTATATGTATAGATGTGTATATGTATATACATATAAGTATTAATACCTGCCAAGCAAGAAATCTCACAAAAAAACACCCTCTTTGATCTTCGGAAGACGGAAAGTGCCGTTGGTTTCTCCCAAACCCCCAAAACCCTCAGACATTCCGGCATTTGAGGGTATCCAAGTAACCTTGGAGCCCCTAACCTGCATGTAGACCGCCAAAGCCGTCATCAAAAGCCGCAATGAGGACTGCCACCTCCCGCGCATTGCCGCTCCTTTTCGCCTCTCTACCGTCAGGACATACTTCCGGTAGGCTGGATCACCGCCAAAGCAAAGCATGCCATCTCCTACAGTTGCGTTGGACATGGGAACATTGATGTGTATTAACAACGCCGACCACAACAGTTAACGAACAATTTATACAAGCACCGTGCTTGTTTAAGGGTGCTCCTTTCCCCAACTACACACCTACATTTGTTGTTGGTTTGACCAGGGGGTTGCCCGCTACCGTTCAACTTGACCCTTTCCGTCAACAGAGCGCTGGTGGCTTTCAAGGTCTGCTCCTCGGTGGGCCGAAGCCTTTTTTGCGTTTTTGTTCGAAGTCCAGTCGTGGGGCAGACCAGAAATGTGAAAACGTTTGAAAACAAGTGAAAAACCGTGGATGGAGACCCTATCCTTAATAGTGAATGTTCAAGAGGATGGACACTCACTCCAAGCATGTCTCCGTCGTGAAGGGATCATAGGGACAGGGAGCAAATCCTTAAGCCTTAAGCTTTCAGATGCGATAGGTGCCGGGAAAATCGCTGCGGTCGTGTGACTTACTATTAGTAAGGCACTTGTTACTAGAAGCGATGCGCTTGTTACTAGTAGCTTCTTGTTACTACTAGTAAGGCACTTGTTACTAATAGCAAAGCAACTGCCAACATCTCTTCAGAACAGCTATAGGCCTATAGTGCTTGCCCATGGAGCACCACAAAACTCTTCTGTGAGCCAATTTCTAGGCATGCTGTCTGCAATCTGTCCGGGTGCCTGAAGAAAGGAACAGCTTGCAGGATGTCCTCCACGTCAGGTGAAATCCCACATCTTTGCCAAGCAAATCCCCAAGAGAATGAGTGTACTTACTCCAACCAAACCAGACCATCTATCCCAGTGATTCGATCAGATTTTGTCCGAGTTTCGAAGCACGATCTGATGAATTCCACTGGGCTTTTCTCTCAGAGTCCCGCATGCCAAGGAGACCGCTTCCGGTGAGCTGAGACGCAGGTCGAGCATCAAAACACCTTCACCCAAGGCATCCAAGATCTGTTGATCGACGGGGCACCCCAAGCGCACACATGCGCGCACGTAGGTGGCATCGGCCCGCATGGTCGTTCGTTCACAGATTGAGGAAGAGAGATATTTGTCATGAGTTGTCTACAAAGAGAGTTACATGGCGTCTTGTGAGAAGAAGTTATTACAGAGCAAATAGGGCAAAAGCACCCAAAAAGGTGAAATTTGTATGAGCCCAAAGACATATATAGCTCAGAAAAACTTGCAGTGATTTGATCAAGCACCTTGGCCCTCTTCTCCATATATATATATATATACTGTAGATCTCGAGCAGCTTGTGAAGAATCACCAGAAGATTCACAAAACAAGAAGGCAGATTTGCCGCCAAGTGCCTCACCATAGCACCAATTCCATTAAAATTTGATGGAACAAAAGCAGTTGGTGGCTACCCAAAAAAGGTATTGGTGTTTGGTGTATACAGTATATGTGTAAGAGAGAGATAGAGAGAGATTGCACATTCTGGTGCTATAGCCAGTTCACAACTGCAAATGGAATGCTTGACACAAACACCACCAACAGATTCTCGTTCTTGAGTGGCTCAGCGCAGAACGCTGTAATCCCCCTGCAATTGTACGATATGTTTGACCTAAGAGCTGTAGAAGCTGTCGTGAAGGTATTGTAAAGATTTCTGGATCAAAAACTAAGAACCACACCTAACTGCTAGAGCATGGATGTTGGTACTGGTTGATATTGCTACCAGTTCCAGCTTCTGGCTTCTTCTTGGTCCCAGGGTCTGCTATATCACCACTGATCCTTTTAAATCCACACCTCTCTCATTGCGGCTTACGTCTTTGGTGGGTTTCGCTGCGGTCGCCCCACCTGCATCACCTCTGATCTGCATCGGCGGCGTACCTAGACGGACCAGGCGATGCGTCCGGCGACCCATCTCACGTTGAATTACAGGACGGCCCCTGGTCGCCTGGACCGTTGTTGATGATGTTTTCGAGAATCACCCTGGTGACCGTCATCTACACTCCCAATGATGATGGAAGTGGAAAACCACCTGTTTGGTATTTGGAAAAATATAACTCAACGGGGCAGTTTCCACTTCCAAATGATTGTTCCAAGCAGTGTATCTGCTATACAGCAAGCCACCTGCTGAACCCTCCCTTTCTCCGCCTCCCCTTTTTTGGAGCCACAACATGACTTCTGGACGCGAGTGATGCGGGGACGCAACGGTTCTGCCGACCCAAAATAATGTACGTTTTTGCGTGTGCACTTCAAGTTTGAAAAGAGGAGTGAAACGAAAGTCGTGAACTGTTCCTTTAAGATTGCGTGGCACCGGGCCATCCCGAAAAAAAAAATGTTGCAATGTATATAATCAAATATAATCAAATATGTGTATCTCTGTGTCAATGGCAATCACGGACCCTGTTGATGTGAAAACAAAGATCTGCATAGTCCTGACGAATCCTTGGACTTGGGCGCGTCATTTGCTACATCTCCCTAGCACTCGATCCAACCATATACAGTATGTGTATATATATACACTATCCATCCGCATCCACACGAGGCATGTGACAATGTATCTATACATCTCGTACCCAGAACATCCACGCCATGGGTACGAAACCTCGCCTCCCTGGAGACCTCGCCATGAAGCTTCGAAGAAGTGCCCTGCTGTTGCACCTGGCGAGGTGGATTCGCTCAGTGGACTTGGTCTCTCGAGACCTGTCTGGGTGGATGCGCGAATCGGGAATCCCAGTGGATTGGCCTCTCCCTGCGAGTCCAAAGACTTCATTTTTGTGGATATAAATCATGGTCCATACTAGTCCATACCTGACGTCGTAGTGCGGTCATGTCCTTCACTTCATTAGACTTCCATATCTTCGCGACCGACTTGCAGGAGACTACACAGTTCCTGATGCGTCACCGCCCCACGAGAGGTCTCGGAACCTTGAGCCGTGTCGAGCGAGCTCTAGGTCCGGTAGAGAGGCGGTAGCTGTACACCGGTCGACGCATAGGGTCCTCATGGGTCTACTCCTACTAGGTGGTCCTATGTGGTCCTGTATATAGGTTGTACACCAAAATCGGGTCCTCATGGGTCTACTAGGTGGTAGAGTCTCCTGCAGGGTGTCTTACTCTGTGGTTTTCTGCGTCTGGAACCCCCCCCGCAACGGTCGTCGTGAACCGGAAAAGCGATGTGCATGTTTGCAAGCAAATACAGTACCCTTCAGCATCACGTTGATCCGCTGGATGTTTTGGTATTTGGTGTGGATGGTTTCATCGGTCCCCATGCGAATTCCATCCACCATCCTTTCCCTCCCCCGTGGCTTCGATCTTCTCCCGCGCACCGCCCGGTGTTGGGCGACTGCTGCAGCGCGGGCCGCAAAGTGCTGGAGACCTTCCAGCTGGAGTGGAAGACCTGGGAGATTTGGCTGTGTGGGTCATGGCACCAGGATAACTTGGTTGAGCAACCCGGAAGGTCGTTCGCTACATGGTATTGAGGCTCCAGGTTTATTTGGACCAGTGACCAAACAACATCAGCGCTCAAGACCAGGTCTGGGGGGGGCAAAAACTGTTTGGACCATCTGAGGCAAAACTTTTTGGACCGACCACAGAAGACCATTCGGCTCAAGCATCTGAGGTCAAATGATATTCAAATGATGTTTGTTTGGTGGACTTCATGTGACACAAATGTGTCACTGTTTCACATCTGTTCGACCGATGTGCAGTATCCTTTTTCCTCGTGACCCTGCAGAAAGTGCCTTACACATCGCTCTGACCGGTTCTCTATATCTCTCTCTGGGGTCCGAATCGAGAACGATTTCGATGCTCTGACCGATCGTCTTGATGAGGACATACCCAATATTGGTCAGACCGTCCACACATATATGACCGAGCTCTATATCTCTTTGATCGATCGTCCTGATGACTCAAGTTGGTCTAAGGCAAAAGAGCGAAGAAGACTTCGACATGGCCCATGGACGATCCGCCGCTTCCGCATGTCTCAAATGTACAATAAGTCACCTTGCGTGTGAAAAAGAAACATAAAGCAGCCATATATAAATCGACTGGTCCCAGAGGTGATGATATGGATACACTCGCAAGGTCTTCATTCTTTTGCATGATGAAGCTCCCAGCATCATTCAGCATCTGAAATCATGGGCAAACCTGGCTTTTCCCACGCAAACATTTTGCCCAAACAGATTGACTCTAAACTGGATTCAAACAACAAGGCCTTGGCTCTTGACGTTGACTAGCTTGACTATCACCCACTGACATGATGTCTGAACCGCAAAGAGCGCGCTTCCCATGGGCAGCCCGACCTGTCTCCAACTTAAAAGCCAGTGCTGCCATATGCCACTGGGTCATGTGCACTTCCAAGTTCGATCCAAAAGAGGCCTGGCCAGTTCCGTGCCCGCACGCATCCGCAAGCGCAGCCACGCCGCACAGCGGCATAAGTGAACAGCTCTGGACACTAAGCGACCAGATGAGATACAAACACTCGTCTCGGAGACCTATCTGAAGGGAGCAAAGACAGCAAAGGAAACTGCTGAAACCCTTTTCCAGATGCCAACCACCTGCGGCCCTGCCAATCGCAGCAGTTGAGCGACGCAAGACACCCAAGCCTCCAGCATCTGAGCACAGCCTGTGAGAACCTCCTGCGGATGTGAGGAGGATCAGGGTAATTGAATGTCTTTGGGCAGCTAGCAGGATCGGAGAGAGAAACTACATGGGGTTGTTCATGGTTTTTCAATGCTTTTCATTGACAGTTTCAGCTTCCTTGGCCCCCTCCGGGCCCACAGGCGGGCGCGGTGCACCGCGCACCTGGTGGTGGTGGCCCAGCACGGCCAAGGACCAGCACAGGTTTCCAGCTTCCCGCGCTGAAAGACGAGGCAAAGCCGGAACCTTCCGATCTGCGCCATGTCGCGACGACGAAGCCTGCAACGGCGATGGCCTCCAACCGAAGAGCCCCGGTGATGAATAGGTAGGTTGAGGGAAGTGGCTGCACTGGGACACGCTCGGACACCGAACAAGTAAGAGGTCGGAGTTCCTTCCAATTCAGAACCGGATTCCCAACTTCGCTGACTGCACCGGGATCTGAAAGAATTCCGGGGATTGAATGCAGCAAGTCCCAGATATATGATATGTAGTTTTCTGCCAAACCCCCTGAGTCCCTAATTGCCCCTAATTCTACTAAGTTCTGCCATCTACCTTCACATACTTTCACCATGTCTTGTTTCACTTCGCTGATTGCAACCCCTTTCACCACAAGAAAAACGTCAGGACCACTTGTGTGGCTTCCCAACCCGGGAGCCACCTAGACGTGCTCGGACGTGGACGGACCGTCCCTTTTGCCGGGTCTGTCCGACGGAAGAGCCTTCCTTTCAACTCGAAATCATGAACAAGTTGGTGTGGGTTTTCCCAACAAGTGAGCGGACCACGGGAAGGTTCTTCCCCACCGCACCCGATAGAGAGGAACCACCGTACCAGGGCCTCAAGAGGCCACGGTGGGGCCTCTTTCTTGCCCACCCTGGAAGCGCGTGGCATCTTCCACATGCCACGCACTGCCTGGAGCTCGTCCCATTGGACCCCGAGCACGGCAAAGGACCACAGGAGACTCACTTGCTCATCGGCGCGAAAGGCATCGAAGCTCCTGGGAGGGACGGAAGAGGCTTGCTGAGTCCGAGAACCACGCACGCTCGAAAGCGAGCTCGCTGGCCTGTCGAACCAGCGGATGAGTCACGCATCGAACCTCATGCTGGCTGGGTCAAAGGCAAGAAACCTAGAAATGGTGGGATCAGTGAAGGCCGTGAAGGCCTGCTTTAAGAAATCTGTACATTTGGATTTCCAGAACTCCTGTGGCCTGTCGACACCAACTAGGAAACTGCAAAACTGCAAAAAGACTGGAGCATGAATGTACCAACTGCATACCGCAGCAAAATTCCTCACACCTTCACTTTCCAAATACCTTGTCAAGCAAGGCCGCTGTTGAACGAAGCACTCCAGATTTGGGATAAGGATCGAATAAGAAAAAAACCTCAACCAACACACCTTGCGTTCGCCCCACTGCCAGAGCCCATCCTGGTGGCCAAGGCCTTAGCCTTCTCGATGAATTCCGTGTGCAACAACGACACTGTGGCATACCTTGGGACGATTCGGACGTTCGTCTCCACACCGTTGCAGGCCAGGCACGGTGGGAGCGTGGCATGGCATCCATTCGCTCTACTTCAACGATCCCAAGATCGATGTCCTTCTTCAATTTAATTATATCATGTATATATAGACTCTTGATTCATAAACCCACCCCGTTTGGATTGACACACCTCCTTCTTATGGGGGGTTATGATATAATCTAAGAGCCTACATTAGGTTCATCATGGTTCACTCTTGGAGAATGTCCGCATGTCCGCTGGGGACTCCGTTGGAAGTGTCGGTGTCGAATCAACGGTTTGCAGACTCCGTTGGTTCAGGTGCACTGGTTTCGCTGGCATCACTCGGTACACCAACGATGATGAAACTGGGAGATTTCCCCCACCTTGACCTGGCGAAAGCAGTTTGGGAGGGATAGCTGGAGTGCAGAGTGCTGTGAAACCAAATGCGGGTGGCGTTCATCACATCGAATTGACAAACATCACCGTTCACCATCCTGGATCAAACGCTTTCACTGGTCCTTCGCCAAATGCGCCACCTGCGCGCCCAAAACAACTGGGCCTACCTCATGCTGCCTCTCCCACCCGCGCGCCCAAACAACGCTGAACTCGCCCCAGCCACGCCCAGCAGATGTTGGCCACTTGCCGTGCGCTGTAGTCGCCTGCGGACTCGGACGGAGCGGCCACGGAGCGCCTCCGGAGACCTCTCGTGGCGTAGAAACCCTTTGAGAAAATCGGTTTCGATGTGCTTCGCACGGTGTGAAGACTGAAAACCCATGTGTCTCTCACACTGCGAAAGAATCGAAAAAACTTGAGGATGGGAATGTGAGCAGAGTTCACAATGCTTTCCTGCTGCTGATATGTCTCCCGTGCTGGTCAACAAGGGAGGGCCTACATACCACCACTGGCAAAAGGAGAAGTTGTCCTGTTTCTCAGCCACACCCAAACGTGAAACCCTATTAATTGCTCCACCGACCTTCCTTCGACCGACCAGTCACCCCCACCTGTGGTGACCAGCTGCCCAACGCGCGAAAAGAGCTCTCGGTCGGCGATGCTCACAGTACCCAGCGCCCAGACCAGATTGGAGATGCCTGGCCAAGCCCAACGAAGCAAGCGCATCCAAAGCTGGTTGGGGCAGCAGATTCCATTCGTTGAACATTCGGGCCAACTGGCACACCTTCAAAAAAGCACCAGGCGTGCAAGCACCTTGCGGCTCGAGAAGAGATTGATTTCGGGTTTCTGAATACCACGCAGTTCATGAATGAATATGGTCTATGTTGGTTCGTTTTCGCTGAAAGCGGCCGCTTTCTTACCACCATGGAAAATGACATCTCAACCATCAAGGTCATCAAGACACATGTTAGAGAACTAATATGTTCAATCAAACCAGTGGAAACCACGCTAGGACAAACACCATGGGCAGACACCCACATGGGTCCGGTGACCCGGGTCTGAGGTCGGTCGAGGAAGTATATTCGATGTCAAGACGGATTCCAGTGCACCGCCACATGAAAACAGAAAACAACATTGAAACATTAAAAATAACAGAATTTAAGAAGAAACTCCATTCCACCGCAGGGTTCTCCCATCCAATCTGGAATTCCGAAGCATCCAAGGCTTCTTCGTCCACCGAATGCGCCACTCCCAATCGAGTGATAGTGGATAAATCTAATTCTCTTTACATTCTCTGTCACGTGGCGGTCCTCTAGCACCATCTAGCACCGCACCAAACCAAATCATCGCCTTGATGGTCGAAGTCCGACAGCTGGGGCAGGGCAACTTGTGCGATCAAAGGGACTTCCTCAGGGATGGAACCGAAGGCGGACATGACTCCCACTCCAAAGGCCTGCACTTCGGACTGGACTTGAACGAAACCAGTTGGGTTGGTATGAGGAAAATGCTCCAATCTCAGGGTAGTTTGCAGGGTCCATGGGATCGTCTCCGGGGAGGTAAGTATTCACTCATGTTCGAAGGTCAGACTCGCCAGAACCGTGGGATCAAAAGTCACTGTTGCTGGGGAGATGATTCCAAACAATCCTGGGAGCAAACAGGCGAAATAGGGCGAAACTGTGGGCTGGATAGCAGTTTGGAGGATTTTGTAGTGCCGCTTCTGAGCCGGAAAGGACTGGATAGGTTCAATCCAAGTATTGCCCAAAGGCAAAAGAAGAGTGTTGATGTTGAGGGCTGCTTCTGCCTCTTCGACCAACCTCGTTGACCCCACAACCATGGCCGTTTCAACCATCATTGTCCTTAGAACCGAACCGAAGCGAAACTGGTACCCGTAGAGGAACCGTACCGCCACCGAGCCGAACCCCCCCCCCGCGGCGCACCGCGGCACGGTGGGTCGGTGGGGGCGACGGTGAAGTAAGCGCGATGCACCGGGCAGATTCTCATGGGCAATTGTTAGCAGACACCACCCATCTGCTCAATCAGATCCAACATGGTCCAACAGATGGGCCTGAACCCTACTTGAAAACACTGGACAAGTATACTTTCACACTCATGGCTATAAACTCACAGGTATTTTTGTAGCTTGTGCCCACAAACTGCCAGGTGCCACTCTGACCGAACCCTCGAATGCCGTCCCTTTCGTTCAGGTGTTGCAGCAGCTACTGGCCCACCACTCCATGAAACGTCCACAAACAGCCCTGGGTTCCAAGAAGTTAGTTGGGCTGGGAGTGGACAAAGCTAAGCTTACTTGAGGAGCCCCCACCCTCCAAAAAACCGAAAACATCTTCAATACACCATGGTGCACCGAACCCCACCGAACCGATCAACACCCCTAAACAGCCCATGCGGCCCCAACCGTCGTTTTAGTGATGTGTCTCAATCCAGGACGCCGAAGCCAAAAGCTCCGAGTTGGAGTTGGCAAAGCCTCAAAGCGAATTGTCAAAGAAGAAAGCCTCAAGCGAATCCTCAAGTTTTTGGTGTGTCTCAAAAACATCCAAGCGGAAACCACGAAAAAGGAGGAGCCTTTTTGAAGTTGTTTGTTCTTTTCGGGTCAGAAGTGGTTTAAAAAAATGCTGCAAAACCAGCAAAGCAGGATGGGTGCTTTAGAAGGAGAAATCAGATGCTGATAACATGACTGAGAGAAATCAAAATAGGTAGAGACCCCAATCGAAAGAGCCGGGTGTGGAATCCACGCGCAGTCCAACAAAGGTGGCCTCTGTCTCAACACCGACCTCGTTTTGGTGTCATTTGGATGGTTTCAATCAGCTAGTCTCGAGCCCTGACTCGACCGTCCTATCATTCTACTGCTGTAGAATCTCCTAGGGTCCTATCTGGTTGCGGCCACATGTGAGAAAAAGAGAGCTGAGGTGCCATGGCCACTGCTCAGCTCGGCACCGAATTTCATCTATTTATATACCTAGAACCTGAATGACCTGAATTTTGGACCACCAACCACCCCAAAAATTGCCTTTTCCTATCAAAACAGGGGTCAGTTGGGTTCCAGGTATAATATATTATATCCCTATGTCTTCTCTCTTCCGCACTCCACTCGATCAGGGTCTTCGTGAACATGAAACGGAGGAATTCTTTGGCAATCTTTGGGGTACACCCACCATGTCGGGTGAACCGAATTGTGGTCAATGGTTGGAGCTGTGCAGCAAACAGCTTCCAGTTCTCTCGGAAATTCTGACAGCTTTTTCAGCTTCCAGGTCCAAACAGGTCAAGAAGAGCAAACCAACTGAGGCCCTCGGTTGGACGCGGTGGAAGGATGGCCTTTCTGCAGATGGACTGGTGGGAACCCCAGTGAGGGCCACCCAGTCGCCCTATAAAAACACCCATGGCGATCCAAGCTTTGGGCAGGTCGAGTGTGGTATGTTCTTCTCTCAGAAGTTCCCTACTTCCTCCAAAATCACTTCAAACGTGAAGGTGAGAGAGGATGAAATCCTCCATCCTTCATCCTCCATCCTTCCCACCTCGACACACAGTGTCACCTAGAAGCTCCAAGCAAGCAAGGAGAGGTCTCTGGGGGCAAGAGCCTTAGGTCGGCCCGAGTTCTGGAAACGAACAGGGGAAACGCAAATAAGTCAAGCGGAACGAAGAGGAAGAGGCACCTGGGGGGAACAGTGTGGCCTCCACCGTGCGTAGCTTCTTGTTACTAGCAGCGATGGCCTCCAATCTAATAGCGATGGCCTCCACCTGGTAGCTTCTTGTTACTAGTAGTAGTTGCCATAAACAACATGTTGGCACCCTTTTTCTGCCATCAAAATTCTCCGTGTAGCCGCTATGTCATGTCATACCTATTTGGGTTGTTTAAAGCCAACGACCAATGCATTGATTGCCTGCGACTTCCTCCACCCCCCAACTTCAATCCAGTGGCTCCCCAGCGCCTCGAGAAGATCTTCCCAGGTCCGACAGCAGAACGAAGGTCCACGCCTGTCAGCTGCGGCTTCAGCGGCAGATGTTGGTAGTCAACCTCATCGAGCTGAAGGCTGCTGAAGGCCCAGAAGACTTGAACCAGCTCCGGAGGCCTCCACTGGATGGCCGAAAAGGAACTGATCCGGCCCACCACAGTGCTCTTCCTGAAAAAGAAACAAAAGAACACTCCTTGACACATAGTTGTACTTAATGTTACTTATGGAGATCTACACCCTGGAAGACAATCCTATAGACCCTGAAAACCACTGGTTGGTAGAGGAAAACAATCTTCCATGGGGGGCCATTGTCAGGGTCATATGTTAGTTTTGCGGGCGTGTTACAAAGGGCTCGGAAGAGCTGGCGGCGCAGATCGTTTTTCGCTGTTGGAACATGGATATTTTTTTGGTTGGCTGTCCTACTCTTCATGAAAGACGTCTGGGCTTTTCTGCGCCCGCATTTTTTAGGTCGGCGTTCCCTGAAACAGGAGGACAAATCTGGGGGCCCCTGGTGTTTGAGATGTTTTCATGACTCGCTTTCTGAGAAACAGTAGATCTGCACTCACATCATGCGCAAAGGAGGTGTGGCTGGCTCTGTGCAGGCACCTCCATCTGGATGACTCCTGCGTGCTGATGCAAGTAACGTGGTGAGATACGAGCATTACAACGAGTCGAAAAGGGTTCCCAACAACCAGTTCCACTTCCGCGCATCTATGTCTTTGGGGTTCCGTATCTTTGGTTCTGCCTGCATTGCTGCCGCAAAAGGTGTTGCGGCAAACCCAGATTTGGTCCAGGAATAGTTGTTCTATATACCATGTTTGGCGGCCGTTCTACCTTTGCAGTAATATATATATACTTTTTATCTACTTTTACCCCCCAAAAAGAACTCTCCCGAGTGCACAGTAACTTACTTAGACAACATGCAGACGGATCATGACACAGAACGGATCATCTCAGGACCCAAAGGATCTCAACGTTGGGACATGGAATCCCAGGAAATGGACATTGAGGCTGCAATTTTGGGACCTGAAGGCCACGGCCTAGGCCTTCAACCCTTCACCATCCTTCACCATCCTTCATCGGTCCCCAAAATACCGCTTTCGCACGGGGTTTCGCACGAGAACTCGATGCAGCGCTGCGCGTGGAACAGAACGTCCTGGCCACCTGTGCAACCTCCCCACCCGGCCACCTGCATGAAGTCCGACAAAAATTCCGCGAGAAGACCCAAGTGTGGAGGAAATAGCAGTTTTCTCCAAGCTCAGCTGCACTAGATAGTCTGAACCCGCCTGTGATTGAACCCCAACCGAAATGCCGTGAATAGGTCATGTTTCGGATCGTTCTTGGTCAGCTGACCATGACTCCTGAGCCAGGTCCTGCTCCAGTCCTCAGCGCCGCAAACTGGTCTACAAAATCGACCAGAACTGACCTTTTCAGGATCTGTCAGTGTCCTTTTCAAGACCTTTTTGGGGGACATAAGCCACGAGGAAACGGCGAGGAGCTTCCATTGCTCATCCAGCCAATTGGAGTTCAATGGGAATAGACACAGCGACTCAGCTGCTCGATCATTTTGGGGAAGAAACGCCCCAGAGGTGTGCGGTCCCCTTAAACACACCTAAAGCTGCAATCAATGAGATATTGATTGAAAAATCCAAAGATCCAAGAGATTGAAAAGATCCAAGAGATTGAAGAGATCCAAGAGATTGAAAAGGTTCAAGAGATTAAAGAGATGATTAGAGCAGCCTTTAAGCTGTTGTGCTTGGGCCAATGTATTTTCGTCATATTCAGCAGCTTGGGAGGACAGCATGTTCAACAATCCGCAATCCTCATTCATCTCCAAGAGGAACTTCAACCATCACTTACCCTTCGCCAAATAGATGTCATTAACATCTTAAACCAACATTAACATCATAAACTGCCGTATAGTCCATCGTCGATCAACCTTCCAGTCCGTGCTCTTCCAGTCCGCAGCTTCTTCCGCCACGGCCAGTGGTACGACCAATTCCGGCCAATTCGGCCGTAAGTTAACACGTTTTCGTCTTCCACATAGAGGCAAACCCTACAAGTATGGGTACTATCATCACTGAAAAAATAGACAAAAACATCTATTTACAGAACTCCGCGTTGAGACCATGAGTCCTTGATCCCCTCCAGTCCCCTCGCTCCAAACAACCCCCTGACATCCCCTGACCCTGCGCGGTCCCAAGCACTGCGCGCCGCCGCCCTCAGGAGCGACGCCACGCTCTGCGGCGCCATGGCGCCGCGGTCGCTGCGCGCCAAAGCTGCCAGTGCTGAAAGCACCGCTGCCAGGCCCTGGGTGCTCAAGTGAGTCGAGGACGCTACTAGGGGCTCCTGGCCTCGCTACTAGGAACAAGGACGCTACACTGTTACAGGCTACAAATACCAAATGCTCGGTTTCATGGATTCTGCTCCACCTCAATTGCATGTCTATCAATGTGAGGCATTAGAATATGATCCTGAACTGGAGCTTCATGGATACATTCGATTCCAAGACTGTCCCAAGTGGCAAAAGATGAACTTCATCATCCAAGTCTTTTGACCGTGACCCAACAAGTTCCAGTTCAACCTTTGACCCAACTGTCTGGTCTCTTCTGCTCTGACTGGTCTCCACCACGCACCACGCGCGGAGCGCGCGGAGCGCGCGGCGGAGGTCCGCTGCTTCGCGCCTTGGGCTCCAAGGCGTGGATCCGTTGCTGGCACATGTCACAAAGCTCCTTCCAGGCAGATCCCGCCCACGAGCCCAAACACCTATGGCACTGGAAGACTTACCTAGTAAGTAAGTGGTGGTGGAAGGGTGAAGGTGGCCAGTCCGAGTGTCTGGGGAACGAAGGACCGACTTCACAGTCCAGGTGGGGAGGCCTAAAGCAAGCAGCATCAGCCATGATGGATAGAGTGCTGGTTCACAGCTGAAACCGCCGCCGCTGCCAGGCACGAACTTCTTAGAGGTCACGGGTGCGTGAGGTGAAATTCCGCCCATGACTTGGTGGCATGCAAAGAATGACGGCTTGGATCCAAGAAAATGTTTCGATCAATTGCTGTGCAAGTTTGAAGGGTGCTGGGAGCTTTTGGAAGGTCTTCCAAACATGCAGCTCCTCCAGGAAGGGCCCAGTGCACTCCAAGCGTGCCAAGGCCCAGATGAGGTTGGCGAGGTCCTCGCTTTTGGTTACGCGGAACGTGCGGGATGAAGATTATGAAGTTGGATCTAGTAACTAACAAGGGCATCGCTACTAGTAACAAGGGCATTACTACTAGTAGCAAGAAGCTACTGGTAACAAGGTGCATCGCTACTAGTAGCAAGGATGCTACTAGTAGAGACTCTGGTTTGGTGGTCTGAGTGGATCTCCAACTTGAAGAGATGAAGACCATCAGCTACTTCCTGTCGGGTCATCTGTCTGGAAAACCTACACTACTGATAGGTCTTCATTGCGCACCCCCGACAGGAAGCGGTCAACTGCACAACCCCAAGAATGCCTCTAGCAGCCGAGGGTTAATTCTGACGATGTCTGAAACATGGTGCACTGCAAAAAGGGAGATAAAGGAGAAGCAACGCAAAACAAAGATCTTCAAGTCCATCGAAAACTGGGTGGCTCCTCGTGGCAGCCACATGTGAGTGGTTCAAAAAAGGGAGACCGACACCAGGTGTTCCGACCCTCTGGAAGAAGGGAAATAGACCAGTGGAGCATTGGGCCAGGGGGTCTCCCCATTGATTGAAACGATGTAATTTAGTGGGAATCCGATCGACCTCTAACCCTACGACCTCTAACCCTCTGCAGTTGGACTCTGCAGGATTGTTAGACAAAAAGAGGCACTCAGTTGGCCCCCTGAAGCTCTCGAAGAAACTTGGGCCCCTCAGACACTGTGATGATGAGATTCAACATGATTCAACTTGGTTTGAGTCATCTGTTGCAGAAGCACTTGGAACCCTGCATTACCGGTGTAGAGTTTCAATCATCAACCTCTCATCACCATCCCTCCCTCACGCCTTCGCCCCTCCAAAACAGCTCTCCTGGGCACCAAAGTCTTCGCGTGGCAAACGCCCTGCGGCCTCTAACACACGCGGAGGCGGCACCAGCTTCGCTGTGGCCAGGGACCATAGCAGGTTCGCTGCATCCCTGCGGCAATGTGAATCACGTGCAGAAGGCGAAGGAGCACGACACCCGCGCGGGGTGAAGAACCCCAAAAAACACGAACCCCGGGCCCTGGGATACAAGTATTGGAAAATGCGGGCTCTGGGGAGTTCTTGTGCACCAACCACTTCTTTGAGTTGGGTGCACCTAGTTTTCTCGTGATTTCTCGCGTGTTAAACTAGGGAGACCTCCCAGGCAACGACCCCCCCGGAAGAAAGGACATAGACCAAAAACCATTGGTTGCGGGGGTGAGTGAACTATCAAAAAAGTCAAAAATAATCAAAAAAAAATTAATGTCCTTATCAGAACAAATTTACATCATCAAAAAAGATAGTTTAAAGATCGTGACCTGCACAGGTCAAACATCACTCATTAGCCAAAAGAGATTACATGGTTCTGAGTCAAAAAAGAGTTATTTGGGGATGAGTATTGTTGCAGTCGCCACAGTAGTAGTAGCAGTAGTAGTAGTAGTAAAAATAATAGTAATAGTAGTAGTAGTAGTAGTGGTAGTGGTAGTGGTAGTGGTAGTGGTAGCAGTAGTAGTGGTAGTGGTAGTGGTCGTGGTGGTGGTAGAGGTCGCGGTAGCGGTAGTGGTAGTAGTAGTCGTCGTAGACGTAGTCGTAGTGGAAGTCGTATAGTAGTAGTAGTAGTAGTAGTAGTAGTAGTAGTAGCAGCAGCAGCAGCAGTATAGTAGTCGTAGTCGTCGTGGTAGCAGTAGTAGACAAGGAGCAGGCCATGCACGCGCGTTTTTTACAGGAGCGCCCTCAATCCTTCACCGTCCTCCTGCGACCTTCGAAGCAGAAATCGACGAAATTGCCAGATAGGTGGACCGAATAGCGTGCAAGTAAGACGGGTAGATTCTGTAGTGAGTCTGAAGCCAGCTCCGCGACGCTGCAGGCAGGTCAGATAAGTACCTTACAAAGGAGAGGCGGAAGAAGACACAGCGACAATATGCGTATAGCTGAAGTCAACCCTAACTCAGCAGGAAGTCAACTGATTTCTTTAAAGGCCACAGCTCCGACACGGGACGGTCAAGTAAACCGCGATCGCCGAGTCGAAGGTAGCTTGCGTGCTTTTTCGCCTCAGCAGTGAACATGGAGAAAGCACAATACTTTGACGCAAGGCAATTACAGTGATGTCATCAGAGCTTGTCGACACAACTCTGGCAGGACCTGAGACCGTATGAGGGCCAAACAGCAGCAGAATCTTGCGCGGGCACCTGAGTCAAGAACAGGATCGGGGAAGCATGCATCAAGATAGAGCAGTGTTAAGAAATGAGAGTCCAACTGCAGCATCTGCTGCGGGGACCTGAGTCAGAAGTGGTGTTGGAACTATAGCGCAGTTGTGAGCAGTTCTCTTTAAAATGACTGTAATAGCCTGTCTGAGGGGGGAACCTTATAGTCAGGAAGCGAACGGCTTTGGTCTGCAACATCAAGGGCTGAACATAATACCGCAAATTAGCTGAACCCAGTTTATATTTAGAAAGTTGACACGTCAAAGACTTGTTCAAAGCAAGAGTGTGAGGCGAACAGGCAAACACGAACCAAGAAAAGTGGCAAAGTGCAGGCAACAATGTAACTGCATGGAAAGCAGGGCCGCTATTTCCAAAGGCTCGTTGGTCAGAAACCTGCCTCGTCTTCCGTGGGCGCTCTTCTGTTGTCCTGGCTATGTCGGCTATGTCCAGCGGAACAAAGAAGAACGGAAACAGAAAAGCAAAAGTTGCAAATGCGGAGATTGGTGCCGTGCCTCGTCCAACCACCGTGACGCTGACGAGTGAGGGCGGAACAACACACCGAATGGAACTGATGGTACCGCAGATTTGAGGTCTGCGAGGTGCATGGACGTAATCATGCGCACATCAATGCAGTCAGCACGGAAATGTTCCGCCCAAGTGTCGGCTTGGTTGGCAGCCAGAAAGTGCGAAGTCTGGGCCCAGTCGAAAAAGACTGCGGATTTCCGAGCAGAAGATGAGGCAGCAGCGCGAGGATAAGCTGGTAACAAGATGTGCGAAGGCTCCTGCAAAGGATATGCTGTGCGTTGCCGCTTTGGAAATTCGGCCGCTTGCAGCGAAATTAGTTTCAAGTGCAGAAAGGCAACATGGAGATGCTCACAAGAGCCATGCACTGAGAACTCGTGGCACAAGTGGCATATGCCCTGGGTGTGAGAAGCAGTTTGTTGACCATCAAGCGGCTGGCGACGCCAAAACTTCGGATGGCAAAATACAGCTTTTTGGTGCAGCAGATACCGGCCCCCACGGTACCAGTGGCTTCCTTCCTTCCTTCCTTCCTGCCTTCCTTCCTCTCTTCCTTCCTTCCTGGATTGCTTGCTTGCTTGCTTCCTTCCTTCCTTCGGGTGAAGGATCAAAAATGATAAGCTTGGCGTTGTTTAGCAGTAGCTTGGTAGCTCTTGGGGTCTTCTTTGTTGCTAAGTTGAGTAATTTAAGGTGTGCATGATGGTGCTATTCAAGTAAAATAAGGTGTTGCTAAGTTGAGTTTAGAATAACGTGTGCGTGATGGTACCCATTTCCTGCTTGGTAGCTCCTAATTTGGTTTCACTGTTGCTTCCAAGCATGCGTAACTTAAAGAACCAGGTTGTGATCTTGGATTCCAGAATGGCCCAAACACTTTGAGGTGGTGGGTTTTGAAAGTTTAATTTCATGTTTTGCATCGCCCCAAAAAATTGAAATTGTTCACCTCTACCTTCTCGTAAGTAACCAAATTACATAGCAAACTTGCAGTTAAACATCATATACGATATCCTAATCATTGAGATTAACTAAACTAAGTTTAACCCCCGTCGGCAGGGCTCGCAGCAACAACAATTTTTGCCTAGAAAGATGATCTCTGTCTTGGCTACCGGTCGCTGTTCGATCTATGTCTAAGTCTAACTGGCTAATTACGCATCAGTTCGCGGACAGTGGGCTCCCAGCAGCAGATTGTCCGCTGCCATCAGGTGGACCTTGGTCCCTGCGCTTGCGCTCATGCTGTTTCACACGGTCGAAATCCTCATCACCGGGGCCCGTGGCGAGACCATTGCAGCCCATCGACGAAACAACATTTCCAGGGCCTCTGCTCTTTGTTCCGCCAATACACCCAGCTGGCGAGGCGGCACGCCGAGCGCCGGTGCTGGAAGGAACCAGCTTTGCCTTCTCCCACTGACCTGCCGCAAACGCGGCAGGTGTACTGGCTGCGATTCTCCGGGTCAGGTCGGGAGGTCAATGCTCTGGTCCTTGGACCTGTCCGGGCCGGAAATTCTGGGCGTCATTGTCTGGATGTCCTGCTCTTCGTCTTCCTCCTGCCGGATTGCTTGGCGCAGCCGTGGCTGCGACTTGCGGAAGGCTTGCTGCTACTACGAGACCGTGACCTCTTCCTTCCATTGTCATCATCATTGTTGTCATTGTCCATTGTTGTCCGACGGTGGTCACTTCGACAACGACGGTCATTCTTATGGCTTCGACCACGACGACGATCTTTGACTTTCGTCATGGCCTGGCCAGGAATGCAGTGGAGAGGCTACTTAATTCATCTTTTGAAAAAAGATACTGGCTTAAACTTTAGAATTTAGTCCGTAGACTGGTCAGTCCGTAGACTGTGTCACATGGGTGAGTCCTTAGACTCGGAAGTCCGTAGACTTAGTCCGTAGACTGACAGTATATAATAGTCCTTAGACTCGGAAGTCCGTAGACTTAGTCCGACTGACAGTAGTATAGTCCTTAGACTCGGAAGTCTGTAGACTCCAGAAGTACAGTCTGTAGACTTTTGTTAGTCCGTAGACTTCGAATTTGAATCCGTCGAATTTCAAATCTGGTTGGGTATTTTTAATTCCCAAATGCCGCGCCTGGAAGAGAAGCCACGAGACACGATTTCTTTGAGCCAGAGACCAGCTGAAAATACCCTCCAGCCCCTGACAGAAAGTTACAATTTTCAATGCTTTCGGCGACGACCCTCAATTTTAAAGGTCAATCAATGAGTCAAACAACTGCGACAGTAGTAGTGGCTGGCAGCGCACATCGACGCCTTTTTTCCAAAGTACTGATCTCATCTAAATACAGCAGCAACTTGTTCCAGAGTGAGCTGACTTGAAACACACATGTCCGTAGACAGTCACATTGTCCGTAGACGCTGTCATGGGATGATGAGTGTCCGTAGACATTACCGAGACAAGTGAGTCCGTAGACATTTTCCTGAGGTGTCTGTAGACTGTCCGTAGACAAGCGCAGATCTGTCCTTAGACAGACTATTATTTAGTTATTATGTCCGTGGACATTGTCGTCAATACCTCCTTAGAGGTTCATTCAATTTGGTCCGTGGACCTTGGATCATAATCAGACCTGTCCGTAGACAAGTCCAACATGTCCTTCAACATCGATGGCCATTAGGGTGAGAGGCTACGTTTCCATGGCAAGGTACACAGGATGCAGCCGCGGCGGTGACAAAACTCTCTGAACCAAAAAACCTGCCGAGGCGCCAGCAGGTTGCAATGAGTCAAGGTGTCGAAGTTGGACTTATCACCGCAGTCTCGGACTCATCACAATCCCCACACGTGTTTTCGTTCAAAAAAAGACATCTGGGGTGGGCGACCTTGCTGCTACTATGCTTGGGGTTATTCTTTCTGTAAACTGTCAATGCACGGGTATCACCTGGAAAGTTGGGCAACACTATGTTCTGAAAAGAACATATATGTCATATTATGTCAAAAAGTAGGACCAATTACCAGATCTGTCAACACATGGATGTGAATGACTCAGGTGGATTGTTTTGATAATCCTTAACTGGTCACACGGTCAGGACCAGATTCATTGCCATTGGAATGTTCAGGACCTCAAACCAATGAAGGGTCTCAACGCTGAGCAGACAGTACTTTGACGGCATTCCTCAACTTAAGTAACTTAGCAACACCTATTTTAAATTGAGCAACATCATGCACACTTCTTACTCAACTTAGCAACGCCTTTTACGAAAATAGCACCATCACGCACACCTTATTTTAAACTCAACTTAGCAACACCTTATTTTACTTGAATAATGGCACCATCATGCACACCTTAAATTATTCAACTTAGCAACAAAGAAGACCCCAAGAGCAACCAAGCTACTGCTAAACAACGCCAAGTAAGGATCAAAAAATAAGTTGTTTTAGGAGAACAAGAAATTATCACTTGCGGTGTCAGACACAATGCTTTGTGGACCTAGCAGAGCAGATTTCGTGGGTGTAGCAGGTTGCGAAGGTGGAAGTGCAGAAGTTGTTGGTAAACGCAATGCTTTGCGCACGTCTAAGTGCAGATTTCGTGGCAGGTGCAGCACTTTGTGAACCTTGAAATGCAGATTTCATGGCAGAGGCAGCATTTTGGGAATGATGACATGTAGATTTCGTGGGCTTCGCTTGGGGCTTCGCTTCTTTAGAATTTCTTTGGGCTTGGCTTCGAGCTTTCTTGATTAAAGAAGCGGGAGGGGGTTCGGGGGAGGGCGCAGCGCCTCCCCCACAATGCAAACAAAGTATAGGCAGCATGTTTCAAAGCAGCAGCGGCAGCAAAAGGATAAAGCGATGTAGCAGGAGAGCGAGACACAGGGAGAGAGGGACAGAAAACAAACAAAGGAGAGAAGCAGCGAGGAAAGACAAAGAGAGGAACTACTAGGACGTATTTGCAGTAGGACCGGGGGATCAAGGCGCCAGGGGGGGCAAGGACTCAACCGCACACTCAGTTTCGCTCATCTGCGCCGCAGCACCTGCGCACACATTTTTGTCTCATCTGTGCACACACGCCTTTCGCTGGACTCATGTACGCACACAGGCTTTTTGGTGGCCATTTCCAGCTCCCTGGGAAACACACACGCTGCCTTGCAATGGCTTCTTCCTACTCTAAAAACTACCCTCGGGTGGCCCACAAAAGGAATGCCACGTTGCAATGGCTGCTTTCCTTCCTTCCTTCCTTCCTTCCCTCCCTCCCTCCCTCCCTCCCTCCTTCCTTCCTCTCCATCGCTTAATTATTTCTTGATGGTAAGTTTGTTTTTGATGATTTATGTTTTTCTTGATTACAATTAAGCTTTTTCTTGATAGCCCTCCCCAGCGGGTCCCCTATTAACATACCCCCCCTATTGCGTGTGAAACTGTTTAAACTTGCGTACAGCGACCGATCACCAGGTCGTGGCAAGACTGGCGCAAACGCTGTGGGTCAAAACTGGGGGGAAGAAGGTTGGCCAGCAAAAGCGAACAGGAAAAACTACTCAGGAGGTCAACCTACCCTGGTTTGGGTCTCGCATCATCATCATCATCATCATCATCATCATCATCATCATCATCATCATC